TATTCAAACACATCTCCCACCCGGCTTTAGTGACTTCCAACCTCTTCTGTCGGGCAGAAGCTACAAAAGCAACATGCGTACCAACAAATTCAGGAACAGTTTCTTCCCCGCTCTTATTAGACTTCTGAATGGACCTCTCAATTTTAAATTTAATGTTGATCTTGCGCTTTGTGCACCTTCTCTGCTGCCCTCACATTGTATTCGTCGTTCTCTATTACGCTAATGCGCTTTGTATGATATGACCTGCCTATACTGCAACCAAAACAAAACTTTTCACTGTACCTAGGTGCATGTGACAATAATAATTCAAATCAAATCAAGCATGTTGATCACTCGCTGTGAAAGTTGCTTTCTATTTTTGCGCAGGACTTTCGCTTATAGATTTTCCTATGTTTCCATGTTCCATTCTAACAGTTTAATACAGGTATATAGTTCTGACCAAGGGTCACCGCACCCGAAACTTAACTCTGACCTCTCTTCACAGATGTTGCCAGACCTGAGATCTTCCAGCAATTTCTGTTTTTATTACAGATCTACATTTTTTTAATATTCTCATCAACTTGTTCAGAAATGTTATCACACACCTTTGGAGCAGGGGACTTGAACCGGGTCTCCAGGTACACATATAGGGGCACTACCACTGCACCACAAGAACCCTCAGATCTAGCTTTCCTATTCTAGTAACAATTTTGGACAGGTGGAGAAGATTTCTCTGCCCCACTCCAAACCCTGTCAGAACCTAGAACCGAAAATACACTCAATCTTTGTGTGTAGCTCAAATCGCTAACATTGAAAGCAATCTTATGATTCTCTACTGTCTACTATCACTGTACCCAGTGACATTTTGTCTGGGTAGCCAGAGATGGCAATATTACTCAATCTGGTCTGGCCAGAGGTCCTTAAAGCTTGTCCATTATCTCCTCTGACCTGCAATCATTCTATTGTCTGTTCGAGGCAAGCAGTTTATTGCCAATGCTATTTGCTGCATTTGGTAGTTGGGAATTGACTCTACAAGGGATCCTCCTTCAACATCATCTTTGGATTTTTTCAAAGTAATTCATACAATAAATGTGCATTCCATTGCTTTTACCAGATGCGTAACTCTTTCTGTCACTGTCTCTCCCATTCACGGGCTCCTATCTTTTTCTCTCCTCTGTCATTTCTCCCTTTCCTTTCGCTTTTAGGTCTCAGCCTTTATCTCTCAATGTCTCTTTTGCATTCTCCTGCCCCTTCTCATTCTCTCTCTTGTCCTCCATTTCAACTGGCTTTTCCTTTCTCTCCTCATGCCCTCTCTTCCTGCTTTACATTGTCTTTACTTGTTTATCGCTCATGTTCTCTCTATTTTGCTCCTGCTCTTCTTTTCCTACCTTCTCTGATGCTCTGTCCATTATATTTTTCTCACTTTCTTTGTTTCACACTCACACCTTGAAAATGAAATGCAGGGAAGTTTGGCTGTGAGTGTGCAATGAACACAGAAAATTAGCGTTTTGGTGTAGCAAACAATTAGGCAAGTAAATCATATGTTTGCCTTTCATGCAGTGGCAACAGATACAAGACTGAGGGCGCCTTGCTGCAAGTGCACGTGCCTTTGCAAAGACTGCATCTAGAATGCTTCTTGCAGTTTTAGTTTAAGGAAGGATACATCTTCATAGGAGGCAGTACAGCAAATGTTCACTACATTAATTGCTGGAAAGAAAGGGTTGCCCGAAAATGAGAGGTTGACTAGTCAGCCTCTATATGCTCTGGAGTTTAGAACAATGAGAGGTGATTGAATTGAAACAAAATATTCTGAAAGGTCTTGACAGGGTTAGACACAAGTCTTGCTTCCGCTTATTGGAGGATCTGGAACAAGGGTGGAAGGGGCCACAACTTCAGGATAAGGAGTTGATTGTTATGGAGTACGATGAGGAGAAACGTCGTCATTGCAAGTTGTGAACCTTTGGCAATCTCTACCCCAAACTGTTGAGGTTGGCCATATAATTGAGTATATTCAAAGCCGAGACGACAAGAATTTTGCTCTATCAGAGAATCAGAAATGTGGGGAGTTGAGACAGATCATTGGCCAAAATCGTATTAAATAACGGAGCAGGATCCAGCAATTATGCTTTACTCTTGTTCCTGTCTCTTATTTTGACTCTTGCCATTTTCTCTCTTTTCTACTTCCTACTGCCGTTTGAAGTGAATACAGATGAATCGACAGGGCATGAAGAGAGCAATAGATTTCCTTCGGTGCCCTGACCAAAATTTATATTCAACTACCATCATTAAACTTGATCTTTCACTACCTTACTGTTCTTTGAGGGATCTTGGGTGAAACTTGGCCGCTTCGTATCTATGATTTACAACAGGTTTAATAGCGTGAAAATTCTTGGGAAATCTCCTGATCATGAAACATAAAATAGAAACTGAGAGCAAGCTAGTCCATTCGGCTCCTCAAGCCTGTTCTACTATGCAATATGATCATGCCTGATTCTCTTTCTCAATGCCATATACTCCCGTACATCCCAAACCCTTGATGCCTTCAAAACAAAAATAAACTATTTTTTGCAAGATGCAACACAAATACCAATCCTTTCTAACTAATTCTATCCAGATCCACATTCGAAACAATTGGTAATTCATGTGATTCAAAGTCAGATGAATCCGCCTCACATCTGTGAAATGTATCCGTCATCTGACCCATGAGTCTAATCCCTCTTAAAGAATGCGTTGATCCTGCTCTGTAATGGACCCTATTCATTCAATCGTGTGCTAAGGAAAGGTCCTACAAAGTTGCACCCTGCTGTCCAAAGTTAAACAAAAGTGCTGCTTGGCCTGCTGTGTTCATCCAGCTCTACACCTTGTCAACTCAGAACCTCATATGCTGTGTTGCTGTTTGCCTTTCTTTGGCACAACAACCGGCGTCATTCTAACTCGGAAACCACCTGCTCCAAACATCTGGTCCCCAACCTTCAGTGCCCATGCTCTAAATGTTTATCTTTGTTCGGATTCACTATATAAGTTAAGTCGCCATAGTCCTACGGGACTGTAGGTCTCCTCTCTTATTTAGAGAGGGAGCTGACCAGTGGTGGTTTAATTTAACGGTCACCGCTGCTCCAGGTTGGGTGAGAAGTTGAGAAGTAGAGCCCTTCGTGGTAACATCAGATCGTGCAATCTGCATCGCAAACCAGCTGTCCAGTCAATGGAGCTAACAGAAACCTAACAGGGAATAAAGGAAACGTTTGAACACTATATAAAATTTCGAATTTTGCGCAGTCACATAGCTGTTTCACTACTGGTTCCATTATAACAATCACTGAGGCCACAGGGGGAAGAGTTATCATTCCCAATTTTCTTTGATAATGGTGTATGTTTTTTTCTTGTATACCTGAACGAAATCCTGTAATTGCACCAATTGATGACGTTTCAAAATTGCTTGGATTCTGGAACGGTTCCAGTCAATTAGAAAAATGCTAATAAACTGCCGTTATTCAAAAAGGGAAGGGGTAGACAGGCGGCAAAAAGCAGGAAACTATGGACCAGTCGGTTTAATGTCTGATGTTAGGACATAGTTGGAATCCATTATTAAGGAAATAGTAAGAGGACATTTGAATTGTCAAAACGTAATCTTCAGAGTTAGGATGGTTTACTGAAGCGTAAATCATGTTTAGTAAGAGTACTTTGAAGACATAACAAACATGTGCATAATGGGATTCCTGTAGATGTAGTATATACGGGCTTCCAGAAGACATTTGATGAGGTGCCACACAAAAGATTATTGCACCAGGTAAGGTCACGTGGGGTTTGGGGTAGTACATTCGTTTGGATAGAGAATTGGCTCACCACTAGAGAGCAGAGTCAGAAGAAATAGGCCTTTTTCTGGTTGGCAAGTTGTAACTAGTGGGGTGCCACACGATCGTCCTGAACCCCCAACTATTTTCAATCTATTTTAAAGACCTTGATGCATCGATAGAACAGACTATAATCACATTTGTAGATGATACTAAAACAGGTGGGAACGTAAGTTGAAATGAAGGAATAAGATAGTTGCAAATGGATTTAGGTAGTTTAACAGTATCAACTAAAATTCGGCATTTGGAGTTAAATGTGCTCAAATGTGAGGTTACTTATGTTGGTCAGAAGAATAAAACGGCAACTTATTAGCTAAATGGAGATAAACACCAAAATCCTTCAGTGGAGTGGGATCTTCGTGTCCTACTACATATGCAATAAGGAAAACAAGTAGAATTTTAACATTTATTGCTAAAGGAATGGAGTAGAAAAACAATTATTCTTGCAATTGTACAAAGCCATTGGTGAGACTGCATGCACAATTTTGGTCCTCTTACTTCAGGAAGGATGAAATTGCATTGGAGACAGTTCAGAGAAGGTTCACAAGATTGATTCCAGAGTTAAAAAGGTTTGTTTTCTGAGGACAGATTGAGCAGTTGAGGCCTCTCCTCTCCAGACTTTAGAAGGACGAGAGGAGATCTAACCGAATCACAGTTTTACTAGTGGGTGGTAGATTTAAAACAGAAATGAGAAGAAATTGCTTTTCTCAAAGGCTGTTCGGAATCACTGCCACAGAGTATGCGGACGCCAAGGACACTAAATAAATTTCTAAGCCCAATGCAGATAAATGTTGAATTAGTAATTAATTAAATGATTATGGGGGATCGGACAGGAAAATGGAGTTGAGAGTGAGATAAGATCAGTCATGATCGTATTAAACGGCGGAGCGTGATCGAGAGGCTGAATTATCTGCTCCAGCTCCTGGTTTTTCTGTTCAGAGATAGCAAGAAGTGCAGATCCTGGAGTCAGAAATAACACAGTGTGGAGCTGCAGGAACACAACAGGCCAGGCAGCATGAGAGGAACAGGAATGTTGACGTTTCGGATCAGGACCCTTCTTCAGTTCTGTTTACATGTTCAAGTGGATAGCCTGTTTGTCGTTCATTTCCAGATGACAATACAACAAGCTTAACATCACACCAGTCATTCGCGAACCCGCTACGAAGGTTGAGTGAACAGCCTGAGTAAAACAAAATGCAAATAAAAATGAGTTATAGAGTCATAGAGTCATACAGCACGAAACAAACCCTTCGTTCCAATCAGTCCATGCCGACCATAATCCCGAAATAAACTAGTCCTAGCTGCCTGCACTTGGCCCATTTTCCTCCAAACATTTATTATTCATGTACCCACCTAGAAGTCTTTCAAACGTCGTAACTGTACCCGCATCCACCACTCCCTTTGGAAGTTCATTCTTCACACGAACCACTCTCTGTTTAAAAAAAACGTCCCTCATGTCTTTTTAAAACTTTTCTCCTGTCGCCCCTCGTCTCCTAGTCCGTCTAGTCTTGAAATCTCCCACCCTAGGGAAAAGACACCAGGATTGAAGGGAATCTTGGCTTCGGGTCACTCGTCTCTGGCACAGAACTCTATATGGTGCCTGTAACCACCAGTAGCACGGCCATACACCTGACTAAACTCCAGAAACCAAGGGCTAACAATGTGCCTCAAGCCCTGGAAAAACATTATCGGGCAGTGTGAAAACACCCGAGTTTGATTTGGATTCAGCAAATGCACATGGGAATATAATTCTCGGTAGATTTACATGTGAACTGTTTCTAATGAGTTTGTGAGACGCTTCTTCTAAAATATACACGAGAAATCAACGAAAATAACATGCCATTCATCAACCGTCGGCCACGTCTTCTTTTTAGTGCAGGACTCCACAAACAAAATTGAAAATGAGTTATGGTATCAATAGTTTCGCCGTGCCTGTTTATTTGATTATAAATTATTTGGAATTAGTGCTCAGAAAGTTGGCTCTGATGACATTTGGGGAAAACATTGGGAATAACGTCTCTTTCAAAATGGAGGAACTAAATAATTGTTCGTGATGTGCGCGCATTAATTCTCAAAGAGACGGCGTAAAGTCCAGCGGGAAATTCAGAGGAAGTAACTGAAACGTACTCTTGTGTAGAGGTGGTTTGGAATTCATACTTAGAGCAAAGTTGCAACCGAAATGAATTGTTAAAGCCAGCAAGGAAGATCTACTAAATGATTTATTAATTAATGAATAATTGGCTACGAACATCCATCACACATGGTATTCTTGGATATTTTAAGTTTTTCCCACTGAAGAATTTGCACAAACTGATTCAGAACAATTGATTACCTCATGAGAGAGAAAAACATGTTGAGAAGAAAAAAGCTAAAGAGAACCATTTGTCCGTTGTTAAATACACGACCAAAACCAACAGGTCATATGTCACAAAGATTCTCAGATTCATGTACCCCGTAGGAAAAGTCAGGCGAGCTGAGCGAGCTTCAGTAGATGAAATAACTGAAATTGTTTCTTCAAGATGTGTCACCCTAATGAGGCATCAGAGAGACTGAATCCCTCCAAAACATCTCTCCGTTCCCTCTTTCCACATCGGTCCTTGAATTCAAAACTCCAATTATATTTGTCTCTGTTTTAAATGTTGACATTGAAGTTAATTCTGAATTTGATTTTGCGATTTGGAATTTCAGTAAGAAGATTCCACCTGTGCCCTGGAAACTTGTGCGGCTGTGCTCAGTACCAGGCAGCCTTGGGGTTTTTGTAATGAGCTTCTTATGGTTGTTTCTGACTGTGAGAATCCAATAGGCACAGTAATAGATGGCATCATCAGACTGTTCAATGTTATCAATTACAAGGAAGAATGAAGAGACACTTTTCTCAGCTGAGAACTTGGAGGGGATTCCCGGATCCAGCACAGCTCCGTTTTTGCTGAAATAGATTATTCTCCTAGGCGCCTGGTTGGGTCGGCGCTGATACCAGTGGATGGTTTCCGTGTTTTGTGTCACGCATCGTATTTTGACCGTTGTAGTCTTGGGCCTAGTGACCGATATTGGAAACTGATTCAAGACCTCGGCAAAATGTTCACCTGCAAACAAAAAATATCGAAAAGTCATACAGCTGAGGAGATAGGCAGAAATCAGAAAGAAAGTGGATAGGGAGGAACAGTACCCGTGAATGGAAAGGCCAACATGCAGAAGATACAGATTGAAGAATATCGGTAAAAGAAGCAACATGAAGGAAAAACTTTCACGCAACAAGTGTTTAGGATGTGGATTGCACTGGCTGTGGGCAGATTCATCCCCGGTTTCAATAGAGAATTGGAGAAACTCGAGAAAAGGAAAGAAATGCACGACTAATGGAAAAGGTGGGGTGTTGGGACAGGCTGAGTTTTTGTGGAGAGAGCGGCACGAATTTGACGGGCGGGATGGTCTCTTTCTATAAGTTGATGGTTCGAACTGTCGCACTCACTGGGGGAAAGCATCAACAGAACCACCAGACAATGAAACGACATGGTGCAGCAATGACGATTAGGCTGTATTCACTGTGTTAAAACAGGTGGTTAAACAGGAAATAATTCGCATCCCGAATACAGACAATGTAAAACAATGCCGCTAGGGGCTCTTGATGTATTGTCTTGATTAACCTTATCTGCCATTTCCTCCATGTCGCATTTCCTAGGCACTTCATGTTTCCTCAAATGGCTGGCATGGAAGTTAATATTCTAATTTCTTCCTCCCCCATCCCACATCCCATATTTCCGATCCCTTTAAACACAAGAGCGATACATACTTCCTTCTTAAAACATTCAATACGTAGCCTCATACACTTTATGTAGTAAAGAATTCCATAGATTCACCATTCTCTGGCTAAAGCATTTTTTTCTCATCTCGGTCCTATTAGATCATTACCTTACCTTTATCTATAAATTGTGACCTTTGGTCTGAACTTGCTGGTCATTAGGAACATCCTTCCTACATCCAACCTATCCCGTTCTGTTAGACTTCTATACGTTTCTATAAGGTCCTAACTCATGATGCTAAATTCCAGTGAGTACAATCGTAGCCGAGTCAATCTCTGTTCATACGTCAGTCCTAACCATCCCAGGAATCAACTTGGTAAACTGTTACTGCACTCTCTCTATAACAACAGCATCGTTCCTCAAATAAGGAGATCAAAGCTCCACATAATGTTCTAGGTGTGTCCTCACCAGTGCCCAGTATAATTTCAAATCCTTACTCAGTCTGTGTTCGAAAGTGACTACTGGATCTGTTTCCACCATCCTTTTAGGCGGAGCACCGCAGATCACAACTTTTTCCAAATAAAACAGAGACATGGGTCTAGTCCCGAAATGTCAGCCTTCCTGCTCCTATGATGCTGCTTGGCCTGCTGTGTTCATCCAGCTCTACACCTTGTTATCTCTTACATTATTTTGTATCTCAGTTTACTCAGCCGAAAACGCCGTATGTTTGGGAAGTTACATGTCGATGTCTCTTTCTTTGCTGCAGTGGGACCAGAGCTGGCGAACACACTCAGGCTCCCCCGAAACACCCCTGTAACCATTTCACTTTGGCGGGTTTACACTGCTCCAGCGGCTGGTATGTATGCCCACGCCCTGAAATTCGATGCCTGAAGAAAGAACTCCACAATATAACTCCACCCTCCTGCCCAGGGAGAACTTCAGTGCAAATTCTACTCTACTCTACTCAATTTCATAGTGAGTCGACCCTCAGTGCTCTCATTCCAAATCAGAGGAAGTACGTTGATCAAAACAGCCCAGACCTGGCTTGCTTCACATCAGTTTCCAAATCACGAATTCAGGCGGAGAAAGCTCAGACACAGATCCAGCTGTGGTGTCGTCGCTACTTAACCCAATTAGGGGAGGAGTCTGTGAATTCCTCTGACAGTTTCGCTTCAAATCGTTCAGTGTTTTTGTACGAACTTTGTATTGATGTCTCGCAGTGTGTATCTATCCAGTACGCACAGTAATAGGTGGCGGTGTCCTCTGTCTTTAATTTGTCGATTGTGAGGTAGAATTCTTTGTCTTTAGATTTCCCAGCTTTGAACCGTTCACTAAATCCCGGATCCCGCGATGTGCCTGATCCATAATAGAGGATTCGGGTGGGTGCCTGGCCGGGCTTGTGCTGGTACCAGTGAAGGGGATTGCTGTTACTGATAGTTGCACCTTCTACTTCGCATTTGAATCGAGCGGTTTTACCCACATTTTTGGTAATGGATGGGACAATCTGTTTCGGTGTTTGTGCAAAATATTCGCCTGAGGAAAGAATATACAGGTTTACAAAGAAACGATGTGATAGATGTGAATGAACAGCAAGGTCTGAATAATAGCGTCAGAAACACATACAGGGCAAAACGGTTACCACAATGAGCCAGTAATAGAGCGACATGTTCACTCGATCTTCAACTGTTCTCTCAAGCAGCTGGATAGAGACTAAAAGGAAACGATTCACTTCCTTCAAACCAATCAGTGAGATATCGGTCAGGGTTTCAAGCCCGCCCCCTGCCCTCCAAGTTGGTTATTTGCAATATAAACAGAAAATGTTGGAAATACTGAAGCAGCAACTGTAGAGAGAGGGAAACAGAGTTAACACAGAAACCTGAGCAGGAAAACGTTGAGACGTTGACAGGGTGTGAAGCCCGTAAGAAGGCAGGGAAACAGGGAAGGGGGAGGTTTCAACAAAAGGGAAGTCTGTGACCGGGTGGAGGACAGGAGAGTTAAATAACACAAGGGATGGGAGGGCATAGGGAACGGTGATAATATTGGAAGTGAACAGAAACAAAAGACGGGTCCAGTTAAGGTGGAAACGCCAACAGCAGAATCATGAAGTTTAATTTGATCCTGAACATCTCAGTATTTTATGGGGAGCGAATGCCATTGCTCAGTGCCTTCTGCAATCACTCCTGAGCGACCGGACTCTAGATTTAGGATTCTGTCCAATCTTTCTGGACTCCTAACCAGCAGAGAAATTTATTACTCCTAATCTACTCTCTCCCAAATCTCTCTCATTTCAAGTAGATAAAACAGACTAATTTTAAATCATCTAAGCTCAAGGGAATGCAAACCAAGACTGCTTAATCTGTCTTCATTACTTAACTCCTTAGAGTGTGAATGAATGAGACTTTGCCAGAATATGTGTCATTTTCATGCTGTTGTGGTAGATTATTTGTACGAAATTACATCAGGAGCTTCTAGGTCCAGGTCAACGATCCTTTTTTGAGCCAACATTGGGTGAGTCTATCCAGGAAAAGATTCCGAAATCGCACTCCAATTTAACAAGTATTAACTGGATATGTATACATTGTATTTCACGAAGACAGTACATTACTCGAATTCAGAAATCGTCTGTTTTAGACAAGCACCTTGGTTGTGCACACTCCACCCCTGGTCTCACCACTCCCGATCTTCCCAGATCTCATCCCATCTCCTCTGCGAAGCCTTTGCCTCATTCCCATTCTTGACTGATCCCGGTTGTTTTGTTTTTCCTGGTGTGGTTCCGAGTCATTGTCGCATTTCATTTCCAAATAAGGTTTCAGGATAAATGCTGGTTCAGCCACTTTGCATTTTCACAGAAACAGTCTGCTGCATCTGTGCGTGTTTTCGCAGTTTAACTCGTTGTCCTCTTCCTACATTTTAAAATAAGAAAATATGAAAATGGATCTGAAATGTTTTATGAAGAACTCTAGAACCTTCTATCTCATTCCAATCGAAGCTGGAATTCAATGTGAACTTACAGGCTAACTCATGTCATACCGAAAATTGCCCCTCACAATTCAAAGGGCCCGCCTCAGATATATGTCCGTCCACATATATTTAGCCTCAGTGGGATGGGAGGGAAAGTTAAAATGGTTGGCGACTGGAAGGCGTTGTCAATTAACGTGTACAGACCGCAGATGCTCCACAAAATGGTCCCAAGCTTGCGTTTGGTCTCACCGATGTAGAAGAGGCCACATTGTGAGCAATGGATACAGTTGACCAGGTTGGAGGATGTACAGGTGAATCCTGTCAGATGTGAAAGGTTTGCTTTGGGCCTTGGATGGAGGTGAGAGAGGAGGTGTAGGACTTCCTGTGGCTCCAGGGAAAGGTGCCTGATGTGGTGGAGTTAGTGGGGAGAGTGGAGCAGACCAAGGAGTCGCTAGGAAAGACAGATAGGGATGAGGAGGGAGAATCTCTTTGGTGGTAGGGTCAGATTGTAAGCCAACTACTCCTTTGATGACATCCTGGGCCTCCTCCAGTACCACAATGACGCAACACGCAAACTGGAGGAGCAAGGGCTAATGAAAAGATTCTTGGCAGTGTGGAGGAACAGAGGGATCTCGGGGTTCATGTCCACAGTTCCCTGAAAGCTGCTACCCAGGTGGATAGAGTTATTGAGAAGGCGTACGGTGTGTTCGCTTTTATTAATAGAGGGATTGAGTTCAAGAGCCGTGAAGTTATGCTCCAGCTATACAAAAGCCTGGTTCGGCCACGTCTGGAGTACTGTATCCAGCTCTGGTCGCCTCACTACAGGAAAGATGTGGAAGCGTTGGAAAAGGTACAAAGGAGATTTACCAGGATGTTGCCTGGAATGATGGGAAAGTCTTACAAGGAAAGGTTGAGAGAGCTAGGGCTTTTCTCTTTAGAACCACGAAGGATGAGAGGTGACTTGATAGAGGTGTATAAGATGATCAGAGGTATAGAGAGAGTGGAAAGCCAGAGACTTTTTCCTAGGGTGGAGGTAGCTATTACGAGGGGGGCATAGTTTTAAAGTGAGTGGAGGTAGATAAAGGGGAGACGTCGGAGGTAGGTTCTTTACTCAGAGAGTGGTAGGGGCGTGGAATGCATTGCTGGAGAGGGTAGTGGAGTCGGCCTCATTAGGGTCATTTAAGCGGCTATTAGATAGGCATATGGATAATAGTATAAGGTAGGGGTGGAGGTTAGATAGACCTTAGATTTAGGGTAAAATTTTGGCTCAACATCGTGGGCCAAAGGGCCTGTACTGTTCTATGTTCTAACACCTCCTATTCCGCTTCGGGAGCTTACAGCCCGATGGCTTTAACACAGAATTCACCAGTTTTAAGATCTCCTCACCCCGGCCTCATCCCACGTCCAAACCTCCCTCTCATCCCGCCTCCTTGACCTGACACAACCTGTTTATCTTCTTCTGAAGAAGGGTCTAGGCCCGAAACGTCAGCCTTCCTGCTCCTCTGATGCTGCTTGGCCTGCTGTGTTCATCCAGCTCTACACCTTGTTATCTCATCTTCTTCCCCACCTCTCCGCCCCACCCTTCCCACTGACCAATCCCTACTGACCCCTAACTACATCCACCTATCACCACTTCACCTCCCCTCCCCCGGCCCCACCCTTCCTCTCTATTTATTTCCCAGCTCCCTTCCCCTCCTCATTTCTGAAGAAGGGTCTGGATCCGAACCGTTAACTTTCCCACTCCTCTGATGCTACCTAGCCTGCTGTGCTCCTTCAGCTCCACACTGTGTTGTGTCTGACTCCAGCATCTGCAGTTCTTGCTATCTCCTAGTAATAAGTGGCAGCGTCTTCCTCCACGATCTCTTTGATGATCGCAGTGAACAGTGTTCTTCTTATCCGCTTTAAGCCTGCCGCTGAATTCGGGATCCGGTTGATGCTGTTGCCATAATAAAGTATTCTGGAGGTCGCTGAACCTCTCGGTGCTGGTACCAATGGACCTCGGTGTCCTCGCTATTTACGGTTCACTAAAATCCGGCACTTTCTGAGGAAGGGTCACCGGACCCGAAACGTTAACTTTGATTTTTCCTTCACAGATGCTGCCACACTTGCTGAGCTTTGCTAGCAACTTTGTTTTTGTGTTGGTTACATGTGATATTGGTGATTGTGTTATAGACCCAGCCAAACTCCCATTTGGGAAAAAATAAACAAAATTAGATTGAAAGCGAAGATGAATTATGGACTAGCATGACACCTAAATAAATATAAGTACGTACAGGATAAAACTAGCGCCACAATCACCCGAAACATGGGTCACGTCTATAAAGGAGGCGAGGTCTCCTTTACCTCTCTCCCCCAATGGCGGGAATTTCCTCTCTCAGCATAAATTCAACACGTCCACTTTAATGCCTCTTTATAAGATGTGAGACCGCTTACTCTCCGTATCTTTAATTGTTTCTTATTTGTTTCTTGTTTATGCACAAAATCTCCCCACCCGCGACCGCATCCCAAAACCAGCCCAGCTTGTCCCCGCCTCCTTGACCTGTCCGTCTTTTCTCCCACCTCAACCCCCACCCCCACCTCTTATCTACCAGCTTCATCCCCGCCTCCTTGACCTGTCCATCTTCCCTTGACTGACCAACCCCCATCCTAACTCCCCACCTACACTCACCTTTACTGGCTCCATCCCCGCCTCTTTTACATGTCTGTCTCCTCTCCACCTATCTGCTCCTTTATCCATCTTCCATCCGCCTCCCCTCGCTCTCTACTTATTTCAGAATCCCCTTCCCTTCCCCCATTTCTGAAGGAGAGTCCAGACCCGAAACGTTAGCTTTCCTGCTCCTCTGATGCTGCTTGGCCTGCTGTGCTCATCCAGCTCTACACCTTGTTATCTGGGACAGAAGGGAGTAGTGTGGGCGGAGTTGGGGGTGGGGATGCAGACACAAATGTGGCAAAACGATCAAACTTAACATTGAGTTCGCTCCACTTTCTCGAAAGTTGGAATCCCGATATGTTGACAAAGAAATAGCTGTTCTGGACTCTTAATTATCTGAAATAAAAGTGTTGTTTATGATCCTGCTGATCCCGGGTAGGAAATCTATGGCAAGCACCCCAAACACAGATCTACATTCGGGATGCACGTGGTTATGTTACTGGATTTACTGAACTCATGATCTAAAGGATCAATGATCTGGGGATGTGAGTTGAAATTCCATCACTCGATCTGGAGTTTTAAATTCAGGCAATTAACTCAATTTAAAGAAAAAACAGAATCAGCAATTATGTCCAGTAAACGACGAGATTGTCGTTAAAACAAATGCCCTTCCCGGGAGGAAGTCTGCCGTCATTACAGAGTCTGACCTATATGTGATTTTGGATCCACAGCATTCGCTGCCTTCGGAACAGCCCAACAGGTATTCTACAAATAAAACAGTACAGCACTACACTGAGAGTACCTGCACCACACGCCGCACCCTTCAACGATCATCATCATCACTGAACAATACAAAGCAGCCTCGTCAGTTTCACTGAATGAGTTGAGTTTCTGAGTTCCGAAAAGTAAACAAGTAAGAGAATCTGATAATGCTTATGCACATGTTCCAATTGTCAAACTATTTTTAAAATCTTTCTATCTGTTACATACATTTGTGAGAGAACTGTAGTAATCTATTTGCAGATGATGCGTCACATATAGATTTGACTGGGATCCAATGCTACT